TTTACCCAGGTGAGTAATAAAATCCGCCTTTCATACCACCTCTTTAAACCTATCATACTTTAAGTCTCATTGCCTTTATGTGTCATTGGAAACGTCCACCTTTTCGGACATGGCGTTGGCGGTTGGCAGGTAACGCGATTCTCACAGGAAACCGCACTCTGAAACTGTGTTTTCTTCCATTGAGAAACGTGATACAAAACTTAAAGTTCAGCGAGGCAAGATTAATGACACATTTAAGTAAGGTTACTAAGTAATCTGTTAGCACAGTGTATTGGATTTTCAACGCTGCCCTGAAAGTGACCTGGTGCTAATCGATTTTAAGAGATGTTACTGGACATTAACAATAACAGAAGTACAATGATTGTGGTTGTCAAATTGTAAAACTTAAAATTAACTGTACATTAACTATATATTGATTGGTGAAACATCAATATCAACAAAAAAGTAGAGTCGTGTAAGTTATAAGTCACGTTCGCCTCAGGTTTAAAAGAAAGCTCCACAGAAATGCTCTTTGAGTTTGTTTTATATACCGCACCTAAAAGTATTTTCTGTCGCTGTGAATCAATGTTAAATAATTTGGATGCTCTTTCTTGTTTTTTACTCAAATATGATAATAAAATATCTGAACCGCTTTTTCCTTCGATCGTGTTTAGGTTTAGATCAATGCCACAATACAGTGTACTTGTGACGTGGATCTGCCAATGCTATATGGTGGAGTATCACATGCTCAGTTCTGCTCATCACGGGGCAAATGATAAAAGAATATAAAGACAAAAGGAAGAGGTCTCGTCGGGGGACCCTTTTCCTCAAACCCCTCCCCACACACACACACACACACTCCCCCACCCTCTGCGGGGCCCGAGGGTCTAAATTGCCAAATTATTCTTACTCGCTCATATTAAAAAAAAGGTCCCGCCTGGGAGGGGGGTCCCTTTTCGTCCGCAGGAAAGCGCCCCCCCCCCACCCACGGGGTCCGGATGGCCCCTTTTGCCAGATTACTTTTATTTTCTCACAAATATGTGAACTGAACAATGTGTATATAAAAAACAAAAAGGGTCAGAACCGAGGGGGTCTTTTTGTCCGCATGCAGAGAAAGGGCAGAAAATAAACGAAAAAGGGGAAAAAATAAGGAAGAAAAGAAAATATTCAAGAAAGAAATCAATAGCAAAGAACAACTTAAAAACCATTTATTAAATCATAATAACCAAAACAACCAAAACTAAAATAGTTCTTTTATTTGATTTGGCGTGAGATGATGTACATAAGAAAAACCATATCACTTCATAGTACTGGGTATTTAGATTACACCAATACCGTCAATACATAGTTATATTTAGTGCTTTATCTTAAATAATAACCGTAAAATCTCTTAATATGTCATTTCTGCAAACACTTCCATCGGATTTTTTAACCGTTTTCATTTCTGAATATAATACACGTTCATTGAAACGCTAATGATTTTTTTTCACAAAATCAGTTAATAAGCTGTATATATAACGAGCGTTCTTATACTTTCGTACTTTCTCTATGTATACTAGTATTACTATATCTCACTTCTGTCCAATTATAATTTCATTTGCAGAATATCTACATGCATCATAGGTTTAAAGAGAGACTGTAATATACATTGCTCTCGTTATGGGCGAAGAATCTGCAATTAAATATACCATTAACATCAATATAATCAATACAAATGTTCTGTCACTGTCTTAAAAACTTATCACAAAATTTATTAAATCGCGTCTTCCACAGCTAAGTTTCGAATTTACACGTCCACGTACATGTACAATTACTCTGACTACACTGCACAACAACGTTTCTGCTTGTCTTAATAATGATTACTATGTACATGTACATGGTCCCAGAGAGCATTCACATCGAGAAGAGCCGAGGTCTAGCAAGGCCGAGACCTAAATATGGCGGACCTACATGAAAGGAAGACCGCGTAATCCTTTAATGGTCTCCCAA